GAGGCAAAGCTGTAATGTGGTACAATCACATGATCAGTAACGTGACTGGTTTGCTTGGAACACACGACGTACGCTCTTTACACGGAGGGTGTGATGTCCTGGAAGGTTCCAAGTGGATTGCAAACAACTGGATAAATGCACCATTTGAATGGAAAGAAGACAGCTGATGGCGCTGGTTAGAATTTATCTCCATTTTCGTTTGAAATTCAACGCCAAATTCAACGCCAAATGAAGTCTCTCTAGATCTTGATGTAGAGAGTATATATACTTTTGCGATAAAAGTTGATATTTTGCACACATCTCAGTGTTGTTTTCTGGTTGTTATGAGCCCCATAACGTCGTCCTCTAAAAGAAATTCTGGAATGTGAGTAACTGACTAAAGTGGGTTAATGGACTTTAATATACAATTTGGATTGGTCAATGATTTCATATATTTTTTGAAACTGTGTTTCCGCAATAACCTAGTATTGCATAATCTTTCCTAATTTGGTATTTAAACTATTATTTTTTTTCCCTGTTACATATTTTAGTGCAGAACAGCAGAACACTTAGGGACGTGTCCGAGTCCGTGATTCACCAGTATATTAGTAAACTATTTTTTTTGCTCTGATTAAGGCCTTGAAATCTTCATAGTACATTCGGTGATGAAATTCTCTCCTGATTCTACGTCCATAGTTTACCTCGTCCTATCCAACTGCACTAGGTAGTGTTCAAATAACGCGTGAATCGATTACAAATATAAGTCGTTATTAGGACAGTTGGTTATCACTAGTAATTTTGTACTGTAAAAAACCTCTTCAGGCAGTCGCCTGAGCGTGCTACACTTGTCAATCTGCTTCGCTTTTTCAGCCTTGCAAGAAATGCTCAGAAAATTAAGCCTTTGGATAATAAATAACTTATCTCACGTTTTGGTGTGTAGTATTGTTGCTTATTTTACTCGTTCAGTGTTTGTAATTTTACTCACTCTACGGCCTCGTCCAAATAAAGCAAAACTTTGTAAAAATACTCAGTAATACTACACACCAAAACATCTAATAAGATATGTTATGTAACCTCAAGGAACAAGTCGAGCTTTAGTAAGTAAAATTATCTTCCTTTTTCACAACATCCCTTTACCGAATTTTCATGGATACGAACCATCCTCCGGGAGAGGACGATCTAAATATAAACCCGTTTCAGAAAACACCTTGTGGCAGTGACACAGTTACTGTTAAATTAAATGAATTTTAAATGAATTTTAAATGAAAGTGCTAGTAATGTTATGTCTGCGATGGGATACTTTATAGAAACTAACACAACCACACTCCTTCTGGTAGAATATCCGCTGTTCACAACTGAGCCCTGCGTAAAAAAAAGCGGAAGTGATCAGAGACAATAATGCAAAAAGATTCTTTCGTGTCTTTCATGTAGGGAGAAATAGAGTCTTATGAATTATTGGTAAGTACATGATAGTGTGGAGAACTTCAAAATATGTTGATTCAATCTTTTTTGTCGCAAATTAGAGGCAAAAGCAATGTTACGCTTTGAATTGGTATCAGTACGTCGCTGTCGGCATTACAGTTTATCACCAATACAGCGGAAGAAAATACTTTTAAAATGTGAAAAAGGTTTTTTTAATTTCATGGTGAGGTTCTTGCTTTATCCTACTTCGTCCCTCTTCCGCCTCAGCTACATATGGGAAACTTTTGTGCTCTAGAATTGATAACATGCTGGCGGGTAGACTGCTAAGATGTATCTTTTGGTCTGATTCTGCTAAAACAGTCAACAGAACTTGTAGGAAAATTGTCTAGAAATATTTATGTTTGATTTCATCTTGCTTTGCATAGTTTGATGTGAAGATTTTCTCTCTAGGAAGATTACTTTTGAAGAATAAGTCTGCATAATGGACTCCACTGAGGGGAAATATTCGAGCGAGGAAGTCAATACCGAAGAACTGATTAAAGTAGTCAAGACAATGTTGCTTCAGTCTATATCGCTGGACAACTCGGAAGGTTTCATCATGGCTGTAGAAGCTTTAGAAGAACTCAAGATTGGTTTCAATTGGAGTGCCTTTTCCAAATCCCTGGTGCATGGCCGTGGTGAGTGGAATACTCCGCTCACTTTGAGTTCAAAGCTGGGTCGGGTATCCATGGTGAGTGCTTTACTTCAAAAAGGAGCTAATCCCGACTTATGCTCTGATTCCGGAGTTGGGAAATCGACTCAGCGGACGCCTGTCCATGAGGCGAGTAAATCCGGGTATCTTCAAGTTGTCGACTGTCTGCTGACGCATGGGTGTGACGTCAACGTACCTGACGCACGTGGTTGGACACCAATTCACGATGCAATTTGTCATGACAGGATTGAAATTGTTTTCAAGTTACTTGAAAATGGTGCAGATCCAGGAAAAAGCTTTTTCGTAGCTTCTTCAAATTTGAAGAATCTTGATCTCATTGGAAGGGGATCTCTTATGTTTTCTACCAAGCCTTATACAATAGAGTCATCAATGCCCGCGTCCTTTGAGTGGAGTTGTCTATCGTTTGCTGCTAATTGCCACCAGCCTCGGGTAGTGGCGAAGCTAATACACGAATATTTACATGATGCTGTCAAACACCACAGTTCATCTGGTAGAACTACTCTTCACGAGGCTGTCAACTTACCAGAAGGTTTGAATCTCGATAAGGAAGCTGTTGTTCGAAATCGGCACGAAACTATGAAAATCTTACTGAATGCAGGTGTCGATCCAAATTTGCCAGATCACTTGGGAAAAAACGCTCTTCATCTCTTTTTAGACCATGTTAATTTAGCCAAAGTCGTCGTGAAGAAATATTCCGAGATCGTTCCAGAAACAATCCTCTTACTGCACGAATATGGCATTCGTCTAGACATGTCGGACCACACGGGAAGGACTGTCCTTCACCAAGCCGCTGCCTTTGGCCTGGTAGAGGCAGTGCAGATTATTCTTAACCTTGGTGCTGATCTTCACGGCGTAGACAACGATGGAAACACGCCAGCACATGTCGCAGCTAACCACGGTAATTTTGAAGTACTAAGCAGCCTGATGAATCACTTTTCACATGCGGAGCTGTTCAACCTTCACGGAAATACGGTGTTACATTGCGCGATAATGCCAAAAGCCGACGAGGATGCTCTGATACGGGTCGCGCAGACTGTGATAAGCGAGAAGGGCTCTTATAAAACGCGGGTTAACGCTGATGGAGCATCAGAATATGACCTGGCTGTAAAGTTTCAGTTCAACGCACTGGCCCGCTTCCTTTTTGACCACAGTGATGATGCTATGGTTGCCAGTTCTGATGGCCTGTCGGATACTACAGAAGTCCGACATGAACGAGGTGCAGGTAATGAAAGCAGTAGCCTTGAAATGAGGACCGAAGAGAGCACTATGGCTAGTGAAGGTGTCAGAGATCGCAATGGGCAATTTACTTTAGGTAATGAAAATGATTTTGATGAGAACTGTGAGGACTCTGAAATACCTGAATTGAGAATAGACGCCGACACAGACGTCAGCGAGTATTTAATGAATCTTTGTCACGAATATCGCGTTAGAGGCTTTCACTTGGAAGGTGAGGGAATGTGCCACGAGAGATGCAAAATTGCTAAACAGACCGTGGATTTTGTAGAAGAACTTTTGAAACTGGTTTCTGAAGAAGATAGGAAGTTCAACAGTAAAATTTTAAGCACCGGAAGTGCTTTTGAAGGCTACAGAATCGGCAAGCCCGACGAATTCGATTACATGTGTGAATTAGAATCCTTGACGGATGAAAAATGTGAAATTCTCCCGACTGAAGATCCTGGGTTTGTTCGTGTCCGAGTTAAAGAGGATTACAGAGAAGAATGGAGGATGTTTCTATCTGAAGAAGGATTTCTTGACGCCTCAAAAATCAAATATTTCCTGGCGGAAAAGTTGTACGTGAAGTCTGGTTCGAAAGCCTTTGCTCGAAAACGATGGAATTTTAGCTTTAACACGACGAGCTATGATTCTTGCGTGCTATGTCAACCAGTCATAGCCACGAGCAAAGCTGGTTTGAAGATGACTTTGTTTTGGCGTGGTAATGTCTATAAATTCATGCCTATCGATATTGACATCACACCAGCAATGCACATTCCCGGGTGGCCAAAGTCAGCTCAAGTACCCCCATCCCACGTCCTGAGCAGCTGTGACGAAGTGGGGTATCATATTGTTCCCAAGTCAGAAGGAGGAGATTCTTTGTTGTGGAGATTGTCCTTTTCCGTTGCCGAACTGCAGATTCTACAAAACACAACTCCAATCCAAGCAGCCTGTTATACAGCTCTGAAAATAATCAAAGGACAGACGTCATTCAGAGGTGTACGCTCGCAATTTTTCGCTCATTTTGGCTTCCTTCACACTTACGTTCTCAAGATGAAGTTCTTTGAAGAACTAGAGCGCTACCAGGACCAAGAGATGTGGCAAGAAGGCAAGCTAGTTGAGCGGATCTGCTCCGTGTTAGAATCTACGGCACGTCTTCTAAGCCAGAAACGGCCTTCCCAAGTGGAATCCTACTTCTTGCCAGGACACAGAGTCCTTCGACAGGCGGACAAACACTTCGGAAATTTCGTGGCAGCATCTATCAAAACGACCCTTCGGAAGGTAATACGAATGTTGCGCAAGGAACAAGAAGCGCTGGCTGAAAACTCACCGGACGGCACTAGCTTCACAATGCGGTTTGACCCGGATTCAGGTTCAGAATCAGACAGTGAAAGTGGTGCAATTCTTAACGATCCAGGTACAGTGGCCAATAACATTGCTGCTTCGCTACTGTCATCTATATGCGAGAGTAAATAAATTATACTTCAGGAGCTCTAAGTAGATTCATTAGTAGCCATTTCATAGGACTCTGGGATGATAATTGTATTAACAGTATAACTTACTCTTCCCAAAAATATTTGAACAATTAGAACCTAAATTTTAATCCACTGAAGGGAAATGTTTTGATGCGTAACTCTGAAAGACTTCTATTAAAATGACCAAAAGAACAGAAAGCTTAAATAAAACATTATATTTGTGTAAAAACTTCATTACAATAATTACAACAATTGGTTCCTTTGCCTCTCTCTATCTCCAACACACTTAAGACTTTTCTTTCCTAGTAGCAGTTACTTGGTACATTTTCTAGAAATTTCTCGAAACAAATTTGTTTCAAGAGTTGTAAAAGCTGATAACTACAAAAACAAACAAATAAAAAAAAACGAAGAAACTAGTGAAGTTAACAGCGTTTCAAGTCTTCCCAATTTAGCGCAGATTGTTGTATCTGCGGCGTTAGATGACGTTTTCAAACTCGTTAATGAAATGAATACCTAAAATTTCTTTTATGTTCCATTGCCAAACAGCTCCAACAGAAAGTTTTGAAAACAAAAATTTACGCCATATTTAATGTGCAAGAGAAAACGAGTGATGTTAAAATAAATCGAGAGGGATAAAATATTTCTCACTGTTTCTACTACTTTTGAGCTCAGGTTATTGTTTTTCTTATCAAATCCCCACAAAAGTCATGTGTGACAAATTGTGAGGTTATGATCATGATTTATTTACTGAGGTATATGTAGCTGGATACTGACCAAGAATTGTGTAATTATCAAGCTATCTTAACCAAATAAGCTTGGTAAATAAAGGAATAATCAGATGGCATTCATAAACTAAACAGAAAATTTGCCAAATGAATTCACAAAACCAGAAGTCTTTAATCTGTAGTAGTTTTCTTTGTTTGACTGTCTTGAGAAATACACTTGGACTCTCTTGACTGCTAAACTGGCAGAAAACTTTTTTCCAATGACACAATAAGTTGCCTTGAACTTGCACATTTCAGTATGTAAACCATGTAAATCTTATATTTTTCTGATGTGAGATCCAAGTGGGCAATCCCAAGCAGAAAAACTTGCCCTCAAAGGCAGCTTAAAAGAACACAGGATATGCTCCATGTCTCCTACTCTCAGAGCCAATTGTCTAATAAATATTATCCATGTACACTTAATGATCAGCTGTCTATCACTCAAAAATCTTCCTGCTTATTTAGACTTAATGTGATTGTGAGAAAACAGGAGTTGATCGCAGTGCAAGAAGAAACTCTCAGTACTCTCAAGAATTTTCTTTATATCTACAAGGGTTGGTCTTGTTTTGTTCCAGACATGCAAAGTTCCAAAGGAATCAACAAAACCCAAAATCTTTAAAGCTAAGGACTTTTCTGTTAAGACTATCTGCTTGAAGAGGGTCCTTCTCTTGGTGACTCAGGATCAACCTGCATTCCTTGGTGTTCATCTGCTGGTGATGTACCACTTGATGTGATGGTTAACAAATCACTAAAGTCCATTCCTGTTCCTTCTTTTTCCTAGACAGGAAACCAGGCTTAGTTTTACAAATATATTAATAATAAAGAAACTACTTTGATAACAATAATATCATGATATAATTATAGTAATAATAATAATAATTTAATAATAGTAAAAATAATATTTATAACAATCATCATCATTGCTATTGTCTAAATCATCATCCCCAGTATTACATAATTATGAAAATTTAGTTGACATTCACATTTTATCCAATTCACTCTCAAGATCTCATCAATAATTGTCTGCGATATAATTCTCATGATATTGGTTTGGAGAATTTGCTCTTGGGTTAACTAATAACACCCTAATTACTATCTTTCTTTACTCTCATTATTTGTCTCCAGTACTGACATTATTAAGAGAAGTTATGTCTTGGTCACACATTAGAGTTAACAGGTTAAGCACTTACATCAGATATCTTAGGTTAATGCATACACTACTTGCTTTTTTCCTTGATCAATCTTTCCCATGTGCAAAATTATTTGAAGGAGTTCTTCTGCAAAAAGTGCCCCTTTACTATCAGAATGACATGTGGAGACAGAATGGTAAAAAACGAGACATACAAAACACTCACAGATCTATATTCCAGAAACATTTCTTTGAAGGTCATGAAGTCTGTAAAGCTCATCAGCATCTCTAAAATATCTCCTCCGATTTGATCATGACGGCTTCTGCAAGTGGATCAAAAAGAAAGCAAATCATACTTCAAGAGCTTGTGAGATGAAAGGGTCCTCTTTATGTTCTCACTTGCTAATGGCAAAAAGCAGCATGACTGCATTTCTTTTTTTAGGAGTATGTCTGCTTGTGTCTTCTTATTAAAATAAATCTTTCTCCCAGTCAATGAAGATTGCTGTGGGTGTGCACTTAAATCATTCTCAGTCTGGTTACTTACTCTAAAGACTTTGAAAATTCTTCCATGGAGAAACCTGATATTCTTTTTTTAAGCTCCTCTTCAATGTAATTTTCCACAAGAGCAACCTTAAGTACAAAAAAAGAAAACAAAAATGAAAAAAATTAAATTATAATAATTAAACTCAAAACAAAACCAGATCAAAAACAGACACGAAGCACCATATTTCTAAAAGAGATAATGCGGTCCCTCTGCTAGAATGAAAAGGCAAGTTATATGCAACATCAAAATAGTATTTAATTAAGACAAAAGTCTCTCTATTTATTATGTCACCTCAGTTATGACTTAATGCAAATAGCTTTCCTTTAGCCAAGGGTCAAGACCTTGGCTATAATACTCACATATTCCTTGAATATATCCATATATATAAGCTTGTTCTCTTCTTCATCTGTAAAGTGTTGGTAATACTTTTCTTTGAAGTCATGCTGCATTGACTGAAATTTTTCTTCTGCAAAAGAAAAAAAAACCAAAAGAAATTAGTGCTGTATCCAATGTATCCAAATATCCACACATATCCACCTATTATCCAACAGAACTTACCCATGATTATGTCTTCTATGTGACCAACAGTTGTATCAAATTTTTTATCAGACCGACTGGACCTGGAATTGAAAATAAAACATTGCAAGAAACAATTGGTTTGGTCCATTATAATTGGCAATAAAATCTCTTATTGGAGAGTCTGTGATTCTAGAGTTTTGATAAAAAAGTGAAATAAATTATCATTTAACTGTGGATGAGTGGTGATTAAAATCTTCAATGTAAACTACATAGGAAGCCCAAAAGGAGAGTTCACACTTGCAAAGGAGTGAACCTGTGCCTGCCTGATACCGGGCTAATGTGATCATATTCTGGGTTGGCAATAATACTGATTTGTAAAATTTTTGCCTCACAGTGAAAGGAAAAAAAAAAAAAACCAAAAACGGTATCTAAAAGATAAACCTCTATCACAGTACATTTTGCTAACACTTGTCTGCTGGATAGCGACTTATCCTTTGGATAGTGTACTGACAAGCATAATTGGAGTGAAATAAAAGAAATGATGGACCACTAATTTCTTAAGCCCTGGTTTAATCAAAAAACATTGTCAAGACTTCAAGTTAGCCGCCAAATAGTGTCTATTACTAAATTCTGGTTGCTAACAGTCAATTTTCGGTTGCATTGGCAACCAGTTGGTCGTAATTTTGAACCCTGATATTCAATGTGTTAGAGACAGTGTAACCAAAGTGTGAAGTCCCCAATATTCTTAAAAACTATGTCGATTTCGTTATAAAATAACCGAAAAAAAAACCCAAGACGGCCCAAGGTACTGAAACAGACAAATAAAGGAATATAATGGAGTTCACTGTATGGGCGGTTGGCCACACAAGGAATTGTTGCCATTGGACTTCCGCATATGTAAGATTATACTTGAACTAATTACATACAATAACATTCATTTCCAAATTAAATGTTTACATTCCAGTGATAGAACAAAGCGCATCTTCAATTTTATGTCACAAATTCTTAGAGCAGTTTTTACTTTACACTTCACTTTGCTAGGAATCATGGTTTTGATCGCTGAACGGATATCGATAAAGAATGTAAGCGACCTCCGGATTATCTTCTGTAACCAAGATCTGGCGATTATAAATTTGAAATTCGTTGCTTCCTTCTGAGGTACAAACCTTGTACTTTTACGTTCGAATTATTCAATATCATTCAAAAACATACTAATTGGGATCAGTCAAACTCATGGAAGAAGTCTCTAGTAAACTGGCGATATGAAATACTGAAGCCTATAAACGACTATCGATCACTAAAAATCAATGTAAAAGCATATAACAAATTATTACCTTCCAGTTACCAAATCTTCGTCTAAATCAAGCTGCTTAAAACCTAAACAAGAAGAAAAACAATTTACAACTGACGAAAACACATCAGAAACAAAGCAACGTTATTTCAAACCTTACCCGCCATATTGGAAAACAACAGTCACCATGGTGCAAACCGCTGACTGTAAGATATGCTATTAGGGTCAACACTCAACATGTCAAACATAATGAAAATTTCTTAAACCAAAAAATCCTTTTGACAGATCGCTTTCTTTATCTCTACAAATAAATATTGGGTAATTTGTAATTGACACAGATTATTATGATAAGAATTCTAATAGAGTTATTGGAGGGAAAATAAAAAGTCGGGCTACGATTGAATATATCTTACACGACGTTATTCTTGTAGGGCAGCAGCTGGGGGTCCCAACCTCTCTCGACCTTCCTCCTCTCACGCGAAAATGGCGGCTGTCGCTTCCGAAACTGAACAAATGGTTGATGAGACTAACGCAGAAATTTCAGCGCCAGAGAAACCTACAGATGAGAAACTTATAGAAGAAGAACAAAAAGATGGAGGTACGTTATCTGGGGGAAATATTTTCCCCACATGTAGACACAATGTACAAATTTTCGTATTTGGCGCAAACTTTAATTTGACCTAACACGTGGTTTATGCCCCAGCATTTCAGTATGTGTGATTTTGTGAAGTATTTAAATAATCGGTTGGTTTCTGTTTTAAGGGATCTATTGAATTCTCAAAGATTTTAGAGAGACATCTAAATGCATGTCATAAACTCGCTTGGAACTTCTCAAAACCTGCCGATCATGATTAAGCCTAATTTTCGCTCTTGCTAATAATGATTATGTTCGCTGCTAAAATGCTCAATGCTCAGATTTACCACGTATTAATAATATTCACCGCTTTGAAAATGGAAAATAGCTTGTTTTACCATTTTATTTGCTGAATGCATCAACTCAAACATCTAACTGTTATTAATATATTATATTGACGATGACAATGACATTTGACATAACTAAAATAATGTTTGACGTTTAGTACTAAGTTAAAAGTTTTTAAGTGATACGGTATGCAAGAATTCGAAGTGTTTTCCAGCTTTCAAACTGGTTCAGCAAGTACATGTATTGCAGGTTATGGATTGTCCAGTAGGAACCAAAGAATACCGTATTTATTTAGTTGTGCCCACCTTGAATAAGTGCCCACAATGTACTTTAAAGACAGGAAAAGTTGATAAGTGTGCATGGAGTAAGAGCCTGCCTTTTAGCCAGAAAAGGTAATAAGTGCCCACCTCAAATAAGCACCTACCTTGTTGTAAAAAAAAAAGCTTCTGTGGCTCAATTGTAGATTGAAATGTACATTATGTATGTATGTGCATTATATTTTGTGTCTTTCTATATGGTTGTATATGGCTTGTTTGGCATATTTTGGTCAATGAGTTCTTTATTAAATAAGACAATTTTGACATACATTAAAAAAAGTGGCAAAAATTGTTTCAGGTGATAGACAAAATTATCCTCTATTCCCTTTTGAAACTGACAGAGAAGAAGATATGGAATCAAAACTCACTTGATGCTGCATTCTCTGCAGCTCTTCAATTTGGACCATGGGAGTTGTTTGGCTTAACCCTTTGAACTCTAAGAGTGACCAGCATCTAGTTTCTCCTAACAATTATACCACTGAATCATTCATTTGAGGTCATGAGAAAAACAGGAATGATCACCAACTAAAGAAGCCCTTGATTGTTAAACAAATTCTCCTTGTTAGCACTTTAGGAAATGTAGAGAGAACAGTATGGAGAATCTGCATACTGATGTTAGGGTGTAAAGGGTTGAGAATGAACAGAGGCTAATGAGTTGGCTCACTTTGCAGTTGCTTAAATGACCCTGTTTCCTGCAATGTAAGCCCTCTTAATTAATGTCCAGTAACAGGCCTGGTTTGGTTTATGTGAGGATTTTCAATCTATTTTCTTGTGATAAACAAGATCTTGGTTTCTGAGCTAAGATTTCAGCTCATTTATATTCATATAAAATTAATTCAGCTTAGTAACAGATACACAATGTATAACTGAACAACAGTGTTCTTAAAAGATTGTTTTTAGTGCTGTTTCTGTGGTGCTAACAACTATGTTATCCTCTCCTGTGGCGGTGAAATGAGATTTTTGAAGCAGAGCTAATCCAGTTGAGCAGGCCTGTATCAAGCCATTACTCTATGATGGGTTTTGATTCAGAATTATATCTAACTATACATATTATTCATAGAAAAAACAGGAGACGTTCAAAATGAACCAGATGACGATGCTAAAGAAGAGGAAATGAAAAAAGAACCAGAAAAGGTAAAATTTGGATTAAATGTGATGTTGAGAGTATTTTGAGTGATCATTCAGAAGTTAATGCTGAGGTTTGATAAAGAGATTTCTTGGAAAATTCTAAGTATCACTCTGAGGTTCTGTAATAAGCAAGCCTGTAGAGTTGTTCACTCATAATTCTTTCTAGGATTTGACTTTTTCCCAACTCAGTATAGACTGTAATAGCACGAAATACTTTGGTGTAGGCATAGTATTCATGTGCCATCATGAAACTTCACAAATGCTGTACATGTAATATATCGTATTTTGACCAGTGAGTTAGATAATCAGTAAGGTATTGATCTTCACAGGTTAGCTACAACTAAGATTGCTGGAAGAATTTAGACATTGATACGGGCCATTTTTTTCAGACTTCTTTTCCAACAGTGAACCTGTAAAGATAAATTGACACAATATACTGCAGGGCGTGAAATTGCACCTAATACAGGCGCCAATGCGACTAAATTTTTCCCTTTGGCGACCAAATCCTGAAAGTTAGTCACCAAATTGGCGACTAGAATGTTTCATCATAACCTTACCAAGAGATATCATGAATTAAAAAGATTTGCAAAGATAAATCCGCGGCAAACTTCCTCGTTAAGTTTGTTTCCAAAACGCAGCACGTGCATCTTGATCGATAACTAGACGCCATCTTGAATTTAGGTGAGCTTGAGAGTTGTATATCATCCCTCCTAGTGTCCATTTTGTAGCACGTTAAAGATCTTTCCCCTAACTTAATTTTGGAGGGTCTCTCTAGAACACTGACAGCGTAAAAAAAGGTTTTGTTTGTCTTTGAAAATGGCGACCAACTTTTTTTGAATTGGCTACCACTTTGAAGAATTTAGGAGCCAAGTGGCTATCAGAAAAAAAAGTTAATTTCATGCCCTGTACTGTATTACTATCCCTGTGATCTATTGACAAAACTGTTTTAGAGATTGCAAAGGGCTATAGAAATTTTGCTATGATTGTGGGGAGTGAGAATGTAATTCATTGAAGATGCTCCATCCCAGACTACAAGTGTTCCCTTCTTTTCAGGGAAGTCTGCTGTGTAAGTCCAAAAAACTAAATTTAAAAAAAATTGATGTTAGCGTGCAGTGGGGAGTAGCACAGGAGCTTTGCTAAAAAAGTAGGGACTAGGGACTAAGCCCAAGAGTTTGAATTTTGTGTTACATTGCTGGAAATTTGTGAACAAGTGGTCATGCATGTAAACGCTTGTCAACCCTTCAGATCATTAATGGGTGATTTCCTACAGGAATGTTTATTGCAGTTTCCAACAATTAGTTTGCTAAAACAAAAGGATAATTGTGCAATGGAGTTTGCCAAAAAGGAGGGAGTGCTTGCTGTCATCTTTCAATTCTCCTCCCCCACCATGTTCTTTATCTTTCGCATAACTTAAAGTTTTAAATTTCATGTGGTATTTCAGGGTTTAAATGGAGAAGAAAAAGCAGCTGACAGTTCAGAAGGTTTAGCTGACAAGGTAGCAAAACACTACAATGAACTTCCATCAGCAGGAAAAGAAATTCGTAAAGAAAGTCCTATATATTACCTAAGGAACTTTAACAACTGGGTGAAGAGTATAATCATCAATGAATGCTTGGAAAAAATCAAGAGGTAAATGTGCCATTGCAATCTTAATGGTTGAATTGTTGTGGGTGAATGGTTGGAAAGATGTCAGCTGGACAAAGTATTTGTAAGTTGTGTTGACTTCTAAGGCAAGCCACTTAACCCTTCAAATTCCATGAGTGACCAGGACAGAATTTTTCCTTACAATATCAGTGCAATATCAAGCAGCAAAGTGATGACAATAGGGAAAAATATCAATCATTAGTTGATCCAATACCAAATTATATGAAAAAACATCATACGAATTGTGTGGCAGACAGTAAGGAGAATTACAAATGAGATCTTAGGAGTGAAAGAATTAACTCTCACAGAGACTCACTACACAATGTAGGAATAGAACAAGCACCAGAAACAAGAAAAAATGAATTGGGAATAGGATGAAGTGCACTGCTTGATGCTGCTGAATTTGGGATGGTCTACAGTTGTTCATTCACAGTTTACTTTTAATTCTTAAGACAGGAGTGCTAGAGGCAGAAATGAACAGCAAATATGTGGAGGGACTTGATGGAACTTAATTATTTTATTGAACTTGCTACTGTTGTTAATGTTCTGACAGAGTCAATTCAAAGGAGGTGGCTGTGCTGGACCTTTGTTGTGGAAAAGGTGGAGATCTTCTTAAATGGCAGAGGGGAAGAATAAAGACACTTGTATGTGCAGGTCTGTTTTAGTAGAATTCTCCAGGTTTGATAAGTGTTTAAAAAAAAACGTAATTGAAATAATTTTGGAAGTTGTTGATTGTACATACATGGAGAGATTCTTTATTTACAAACCATATGTCAATGTGGAATTCAGGTAGTTGGTTTATTTTAGAGGGTGGAAAAGGAGGAGGGGATAATTAGAGAGAGGGCAAAAAAAGGGATTCTGTGATTCAAATGGAGGTCACTAGTGGGAAGCAAGTGTAGCCAAGTTTGTTCTATCTCTGCACCAGTGAAGTAATTATCCCTTTGACCTGTAAGAGTGACCAGCACCTAATTTCTCCTTTCAGTATCACCCCCGAATCATAGGATATGTGTAAAGAACAGTATGGGGAATATGTAAACTAATGTTAGAGGTTCGAGGGTTAATTGATCAACTGAAATGTGTTTTCCTAGATATTGCTCAAGTCTCTGTGGAACAGTGTGAGGAGCGATACAAAGAACTAAAAAAGACGCATGAGACTCGACGTTATAGGGATCCTCTCTTTACGCCTGAATTTATCACAGCTGATTGTAGTAAGGTAATGAAGATGAACTGAATTTTTTCCTTTATGTAACAATGGTTAGATCAGGGAGCTTTTCTCGCAGTTTCTGTGGCTCTATGGTAACAGTAGCTTACTGACTTCCAGAGGTTCTGATTTTAGCTCTAGCTTGGTCATTGAGCCCAGTGTTCTCCCTTATTTTAAGCACAACTGATAAAGAAATTTTCAAATTGTAGAGCAATCCTTTTACCTGTTTGATTTTCAAGAATCAAGTCTTTCAAGTGATTTTAGGCAGTAATAATAGGTACTACAAGCAGTGAATTTTAGCAATTACCAACTGGAAAGGAGAGCACTGTGTTCTGTGTGCCTTGGGTGAGACATGTTACTCTCCCAGGTCCCACTCCATACTGTAGTATAAATGAGTATTGGTGGACTGTCTAGGAAACCTATTGAAAACAATGTTTGCAATTTTTTTTTGGGGGGGGGGGGAGGGAGGGGGTGTGGTACAGAAACCTGACAGGAACCTTAATAAGCTGGATAAAACATAGCTTGGTTTGTGTTCTGACTTAACCTTACAGAAACAAAACTTTTCACTATCTTGAAGTGACCCTCTTTTACTCTGTACATCATAAGAGTAAAGGAATCAAGTGTCCTATCTCCTGTTCTAACCTTTAAATTCCAGTTAAGTTTTTTTCATCATTTTCCCTCTTGTTAATTTTTCCAATGTTACCCCTGTTATCACAATTTTCTGGTTCTGCCACATATATGTTTTTAGTAATCTGTGCTCTTTTTTGTAGGAACGACTTCAAGATCTTTACCAAGACAAGAATATCGAGTTTGACTTGACAAGCTGCCAATTTTCATTTCATTATTCATTTGAGACTTATGAGCAAGCAGACATGATGCTAAAGAATGCTTGTGAGAAACTTAAAGTCGGAGGTTTTTTCATAGGGACAACACCCAATGGATATGAGTTGGTGTAGGTGTCTGATGATAACAATCATCTTTTATAAGTAGTATTTTTCTTTAAATGATTAGCTGATTATACACAAATTTTGATTGGTTCCCAGAAACAGGACAGAAACATAGATGACATCACTATCTGCAACATTTTGCTTTGTTATCATTTCAAAGAAATAGATTCCATGTTACCATGGATTCGTTCATTGGTAGATCAAAGGAGATTTCAGAGGGTGATAAAAACATTAGTGATAGTCTTGGCTGTACCTTGTGTGCCCCTTTTTTGTTCTTGCTGTATTTTGATTTCATCTGTGATCTATAACTAAAAATGGGCATGGCAAAATGGAAACTAATGGATGTGTGATCTGAAGGTGAATAGGAGTCAGAATATAGGTGGCCCACCCCAGATGATGCCTAAACTGCACTCAATGGTATTACTTCCTTTTTTTGTTTCAGTCGTCGATTAGAGAAATCAGAAGGTCTTTCCTTTGGAAATGATGTTTATAGAGTTACTTTTGAGAAGAAAGGTGACTATCCTCTATATGGCTGCAAGTATGATTTCCATCTTGAAGGAGTGGTTGATTGCCCTGAGTTCTTGGTATACTTCCCTCTGCTTGAAAAGTATGTAAACATTTGTAGATACTAATTTTGACATTATCAACAAGTTTAAAAATCCATAAAGTCCATCTTAAGGATAAAACTTGAAACATGTGATGACAAGAAAGTCCAAAGCTTTATTAACTGCCCAAGTTTTTAAAGGACAAACACTTGTGCAAGATTACCTGGGTTCTGCAGGTTTTGTAGCTATGATACATGTTTTGTAGATCTCTGTCCCCTTTAGATCCTTTTCAGTCTTTTTAGAATGGTAACTGGTAATTTTAAGATGTAAGTGGTATGCAATGATTTGAATACAGGTTGCTTGTAGTGGTTGTTTTAGTTTTGTGAACCCTTTGCACTTTAGCATCAATATGCATATTCTCCATACTGTTCTCTATACATTTCCAATGGTGCTGTCAAGAAGAATTTGTTTAGCAATCAAAAGATTTTTCAGTTGGTGATCATTATTTTCTTTTATTATTGTGATGTTAATTTTTGATTCAGGGGTGATATTGTAAGAAACAATTGTATACTAGTTACCCCTAGGGATCAAAGGGTTAATTGTTTTCGCTGCTGCATCCCTTGTTCCAGAATGGCAGAAAAGTATAATATGAAGCTAATGTACACAAAGACATTCCATGATTTTTTCCGGGAGAAAACCAAGGAATCTACCTCTCTCCTTTACAAAATGAAAGCGCTTGAGGTATGTGTGTATTTGGATGTATTAGAAGTGTTTTTTGTGGCAGGATATTCGTGTATGATGTAAAGAGACATTTTCAGCCAAAGATGAACATTAACATGAACATTAGTTTTAAACACTGAACAATTTAGTTGACTTAAAAGTGTTTGCTGATACCATGAGGATTATGAGTACCAATCTAAAAAGCTAAATTTTCATTCTAGAGTTCTGCAGCTTTCCAAACCGCCTAGATGTAGGGAAAGGCTGTAAACTACCATATGCTGCTTAGAATGATTAGAGGAATCAATCTCCCTTTTCCTTCAACGAAATTATTCTTGTTTTCTTGTCACCATACTCCCACCAATAGGTTAGCTCCATTTTCTGCATATAAGCACACACAGCAACACAGTCGATAATACCAAATTATCCTGTTAGACTCTTCAACTGATGCTTAACTTAACTCAACCCATTCATGCATAAATATAAATATTATTTTGCTGTTTGCTTCTTTGATTAAGACATACCCACCACGCTTAGAAAATGAGAGCTTGGTTTCAAGTGCTGAGGATGCTTACACACATGCGAAAGACTTTTTAGAAGGAATTCAGCTGAATCAAGATAAATCTTCCTCAACCAGCAAGTACAGAGACCACAGGGAAAAGAACTTAAAACATGTGGTAAGTTGAAGAATAACTTTCTTGTTTTTCTTGTTGTTGTTGTGGTTTTTATTATTATTCTTAATACTATTATTACTATTGCAGTAAACTAGTATCATGAAATATTATGTTGCTGCCCCTTTTTGTTTTGTTTTGGAAACAAGCTTTCCTTTTTTTATCACCTGATGAAGAATGAGGGCTATATTTTGTATAAAACTGGTCAAAACGCAATTTCAGTTATTGATGTTTGTTAAGAAATGTTATTCACTCTCTAAGGTGCTTTTGGAGATTGCAATTATTATGATTTGATTTTAAAATTTTAATGACATTTCTCTTTTTATAATTACAATCTAAAATAGAAGCAAGGGTAAAAGTTAACTTCATGTAATATACTATACAGTCTGTGAAAGGTTTGCATGTCTCTGTATTATTATACACATGTATGCATGTCTCTGGAATGTCTCTAAGAATGCCAAATGATTCATGCCCTCATCTGCTTTTCTAGAATGTTAGTAATGTTAGAAACTTTGACTGCTTAAGTTCTTTGGAGTAAAAGGCTGAAATAGGGTAATTTTTTTTCAATTTTCATTGTCAGTTTTAAATATTTATGTTGTCATAATTTGTATCATTAACAGGGAACCATGTCAAAGTTTGAATGGGAAGCTGTTGGTAAGTTTTAAACTCTGAGAGTATGTTTTTCATGAAATAATAATAATAATAATAATACTATCTAAGCTTGTTGCCAGTGTGGTATTCTCTTAGCTGTTTGCTGTTGTTTGCTTTAGGAATGTACTTGGCATTTGTGTTTGTGAAAATTGATCCAGAAGCAGAGCAAAAGAAGGCAGAAGAAGCAGAGAGAAGGGCAAAGGAAAGAGCAGAGCGTGAAAAGGAGAGAGAAGAGAGAGCCAAAGCTGAACAGGAAAGAGCTGAAAAAGCTAAAGCTGAGGAAGATAAGGAAGAACAGGCTGAAGAAAAACCAGAAGAAAAAGCAGAGGAAATGGAAGCAGAGCCCAAAGTTGAATCAAGGAAGAGGAAACATGAGGAAGAGCCAGCAGAAGGTGATGGTGATGATGGTGAACCTGTAGCAAAGAAACAAGAAACTGTTGAGGAAACATCTGGTTAAATATGTTGACTCTAAAATTATGCAGTGATTTAAAAAGACTCTCATTTTGAAGAACTGTAACTATGGGTGAGGCAAGGAATGGAACATTTTCCTTTCCCCCAGAACTAGGACTTTTTTTCCAATTGTAAAAAAAAAAGAGATACATTCCTTGGCATAGAAAATTAGATTGCATTTTTAGCTTGATAGGTTCATCCAAAATAGCTTTGTCTCTTTCTGTGTGCAAAGTAATACTTAGGTAACATTTCCACTCCCAAAATCTGAAAGTTAATTTTCCTAACTGAGCGGTATAGTATGCGGACTGGTTGTGATCTGATTTTCTTCTTGAATTAATATCTTTTTCTGTACAAACACAACATGGACTAGAGGTGCAAGGTGAAAAAAGTAGATCACATCCTTATTCTCTTCTGAAACCCTTATCTGGTGTGGTTATTATCCACAGACCACAATGTATCATTGATATTTGAGAATGAAACAGACTATGTGCAGTCCAATTTGTATGCACCTTTTAAAAGTTTATTTTAGAACTTTAAAAGTTATATGATACACAGTTGATTACACTCTTGTTACCCAACTGTGCCTTTATTTAATGTGTATGCTTGTGAATAGCTCTCTTGTTCGTTACCTCATGTTATCATTGAGAAATGTTGCGTAACAGGCTACAAAAAATAAGGTTATTAGAGCAATTTACAATCAATTGTCAACAGTAATGCATGATTAATGCACAATTTGAAAGTTTCAGTCAGAAGTGGTTGGAAGTGGGAGTCAGCCATCCATGTTTAAATATCAGGGAATTTCCTTGTTCTTCTTCTTTGGAAGTCTTGATAGGCAGTTGATGGAAGTGAGACTCTATGTTTTAAACTTCAGATGAGTATGAAGAAGAAACTGGTATTCTTTTACTGAGAAGATACATTTACACCAAAAATGCTTTGCAATCAAATTGGTTTTGGGTAGCGCTTGGAAAGTTGCAATATATTTATTAGTTAGTGGTGGAGTGACATATGTTCTTCAGAATTAGGGGGAGGGATGAAGGGAAGAAAATTGTATATCTTTTTCTTTTTTTTTTTAAGAGGAATTTGAGGGCATCCCCTTGGTCTGTTCTTTAGCTCAATCGAAAGGACCCTTCCAAACCTTACATTTGCTACATTTTTACTTTGTGCATGTAACATTATAAACTAGTCATAGATTTTCTTGTGATGTATTATTGTTAATACTTAAACTTTGATTGATTAAAAAGAAAGCTATTTTAGTTCAGGTGTTTTGGATGTAGGAATAAGTGATTCAGGTGTAGTTCAAAGTATGTGAACTGATCTCGTTTTGAAAAGATCAGCATGGAAAATACGTTCGTAACGCCCTACTGCCTAACCCCTCCCATATTTCCACGGATCAACCGAGAAAAAATAATAGTAAGTTACCCACCCCTCCCCTCTTGCCTTCTCTATCACCTATTCAGATATTGAAGCTTTCATCATTGGGTTTGTAATTATAATCATTATCTGCTATTTGTCTTCTTTTTACTGGTTTTACTTTTCAAATAGTTTTTCATTTCGTTCTTTTCTCATATAATTATTCCTAAGGGCGGATACTTTCCAGTCCCAGCCTCCCTTAGAGTTTCATGCTATTACCGCGTAGGACTGTTGCGGGTTACTTCTCTAGAAGTGTCGTAAAAGTACCCAGGTGTTTGTGAATTGCACGAATTTTTGTCTTCGTTTCACTCTATAATGGACGAGTTTCAGGTGCCTTGAGGTATGTAGAGGTATGTCAGTTTTTTCCCCTTTATATTGGCGCCCAAAATAATGGTTTCTCTTGATACAATCCGTCAAGAAAAGTGATGTACTTGTGCCTATGCATGATTACATATTGTTTATGTACGCAGCAGACTGTGTGTCTCAGTTTGTCCAAGGCTACATTTCGTAGTCCTTTGTTTGGAATTTTTTTTCTATCTGCGTCGTTCCAATTCTCTGAAGTTTGTTTCTAATTATATTATTGCTTTGTTCGTACGTCTTTTGTGATAACTTGACTTCCGTAGTAGGCATATTTTTTTTGTGCAACATCATGGCGAACCAGCTATGAGCTGAAATCTATCAGATTAGACGAGGGGACCAAAGAAATTAAAAATTACTCCGGAATTCAATGAGTAGTCCTTTCGTGAAATTAATTATCGGTTTTTCGATGTCATGGCCTGGTGAGTGTTAGTAGTTTTTAAATTTTACCCACCGTCAAAACACTTGATTATGTTTTAAGCTGTATCAATCTTCTTTCATTTAGAACTTGCATTAAATCTGGTAACTAAAGGTCTGGACTAATGATGGATTTGCTGTTTTATGTGTAAGTGCAGTCTAATTAGTGTTTATTATTCTTGGGATAAATTACGTAAGCATCTTCTTTCGCGCGAGGATCAAATCTTCGCCGCAAAATTTTTAGTGCTGAATCATATAAAATTAGGCGTTAGTTACGTCAAGATTGTAACATATTATGTTCCTGAAATAATTTGAGCATTATTCTTAAACTTAGAGAATGATATAATCTTTCTGTGACAATATCATCCCTGAGTAGTCGACAACTGTTTAACTCTAGCATACTTCTCTGTGTAAATCGATTTAACCAAAGATATGTTTATTTTTGTGTTTTACTTTCTTTCTGTGAAATCATTACTGCTTACAACGTCATATATTTATATGAATTCATTCTTGAAATAAGTGTTAAATATGGGGACCATCTTTGTGAGTTCTTTTTTACTTGCAAAGAATGTCTGTTGACCACTGTCCCTTTTTTGTGATTAACTCCTTTGCCCATAGCCCCAGCAAAAACACAAACTACAATAAATGGTTGGATATGATTATTTCAAGCTTGTAGACATGTTTTCATAGGTATAAGATTAAATCAGTTTCAGATGGTTGACCTAACAAACGAACCATAAGAGGAACTACTTAGGACAGTGTTTCTATGTGAATTACTTGGCAGATCAGTGATTATTTTTTTTGACAATCACACAACACAGAAACAATTTAATCACAGCTCCAGATATTTTGACTCCCATTTTGGCCTTCAGCCATTGTAAGATGGAACTGTTTATAAGATTAAAAAAGCTCAAAATCTAACAAGCTTACATACTAGATATGAAAAATGCAGTTGTAGTTTATGTACTATTAGTGCCATCACATGTTATCAAAAAAGGATCATATAATAAGTGAATGGTGCACAACAAGAAGGTTCTAGTTTTCCTTGTCTTCTTATCACCATTTGCTTATCACATGAACCTACAGTACAAACTATTTCAGCCATGTACTTTCTCATTACAGAAATTATTTATCCTTATTATTATAATTTTCCTAGTTTTCCTCTTAAAGAGGGATCTGTTGCAAAGTTTTGTACCTATTTGTAAGCAATACAAGAACTATGAACAGTGTGTGGTTTTTTTTTTGTTAATAATGAGCTCTGCATCTTTGAACAAGAGAACCAAAGTCTGTGAATTAGTATGAAAGTCTTTCTGTCAAAGCTCACTGGTTTCTCGTTTTTTCGTTCATTCAAGTTGTGATGTGGTTCCTCTTTGTTGTGTTACTTTTTGCTAGCCACATAAACTTTTATGATATTTGTTTTGTTGTTACATGTAATAGAGGAATCATTGTAATCTAAAGTTGTTAACTTTAAGATGGATTTTTTTCAGGATTATAATAGTTGTGGTCATCTTAAAACTTATCTTCTGGATATTTTACTTCTATGCAAGAAATCGAAGACGACTTATTGCTCAAGCATTAAGGCAACATAGTCAACAACAGGTCAGTTTTTGGTAGTGTATTATCCTTGCTAGGTTTAAAATTTCTAAAACCTTTGTGATGAGTTGTTAAGTCTTCCTTTTGCAACTTTCCCTGAGTCCCTGAAGCTGAGGCTGATGTATTTGTTCCTAAGTCCTAAATTTATTAACAAAGGTCCTTCCGACTCAGCCTAAATCATTGTTTTCTAACCCTAGTGGGTGTGCATTAATGCAATCTTTGTCTCCACTGCATGTCTGTCTGTTTACTGTTTAGCCTTTTATGATCTGTGTTATGACAGCCCCTAGGGTTCCAAACTATAAGAATTGTATACATAATTATCCGATTAATTAGTATGGTATCAATAACTTTGAACATTTTAAAGATTACTACCCAGACACCATCAAATTTAATTTCATTTGTTATTTTAACTTTTTCCTTTTCCATTGTTTTATTGGTTTCAGATTCCTCAGGGCCGCCAGTATGAAGAAGAGCCTGCAGTTCCTCAGCCAGCTTATGTTTTCACTGAGTACCCATTTGGTGTCAATGGTGTACCAGCAAACCTTCAAAATCCTCCCGTGTATTCAGTTGAGGATCCTGTTAAATTAGATGAACCTCCGCCTCCCTATATAAATGATGATGACACAGGAGGACTCATAGAGAACCAGGAGAACTGAAGTTTTAATAGAGCTTGTACATATGCATCATATGCAATTTTACCTTCAGACCAGTTTTAGACTGTAAATCAAAGGCACTTACCTGCTGTGGTCTCCGATTAGGGTAGTATCCAAGTCCATGGCTGCAAAGACATACATCCATTAACCATAGATATTAGTAGCTATAAAAAGACAGCTTCTGTATAAGGAGAAGCATTAGTGAGTGTTAGGGCTAGACGTTTCTTGCATTGCCATGAACATAAAAAAATACAGAGACAAAGAGAGTTATTATAAATCTACCAGTAGCTTATCAAAAATGTTGCAATCTGATTGGCTATGCCACTCTCTGACTATCCAGTGATAGTTGATGAAATGATCAGCCCAGCAGCACAATGTGTGGTTGTAAGCATATTGGAGTCAACACTTGTTGCCAACAAGTTAATAATGTTATCTCAATTTTTATGAGTCATCTTTAAGGAGAGCTTTTCCCTCATCAACTATCATAGGATAGAAATCTCAAGCTCACAGCATAGTTATTAATTAGTATTTGTCAAATTATTTCCTATGATAAATATGGAGCTTTTTTACCCTTAAAGAGTTTTCTTGGTTTTACTTTGAGTTCTGATTGGCCACTGATAATTTTTCAGTTCTTCTGATTGGCAATAACTTTGGTTTGGTGCTTTGACACTCAGTTAAAGAGTGCTCAAGAGAGAGGTAGAGGTAGAAGTATGGTTGATCTTATGATTAGAATATGATGACATTTGGCTGGTTCCATCATTTGCCAACCATTTTATATGGTCAAAATGATACTTCTGTTCTTTCCCAAGATTGGGTACTTATTGAAAAGCAAAGTGCTTCATGTCATTGTTTGGGTTTACATTATGGATTAGCTGCTAGAAAGGTTTAACAAAATAAATGACATATATGGAATGGATCTACCAATATCTTAAACTTTTGCTAGACAAATTCTTAGTTCTCTTGCTGTATGTACATTTTGCTTCATTCGCCATGTCCATGACTATGCTTTGATATAAAAGTATCACTATTTTTTTTTGGTGGTCCATGTATAGCTCTTTTCTGGAAGTGCTGAAACAGGTTTCTGGCCCTCACTTAAAAAAAAAGTTACTGTTATCACTTAGATAAAAATGACCTACAGGTGTAGGATAATGAATTCCATCTCTGTTTGTAGTTGTCTTTGTTATTATTGGTTCTAGGTGCAGGTTCGCTCACATGAATTTAGCTGGAATTCTTTTTAATTTTTTTCATAGTTTGTTTGCATATTAAAGGTCAATTTACCTCTGTATTTTAACTGTAAATTTTTTATCACCTAAAATAGGGAATTGTAATGTTTGTCTTTCCCTATTTACGCACACACATGTAGTCTCAAAGAAATGTAAAAAAGAAAATAATTTTCAATTAATATTATCCTTACTCGTTTTAAAATTTTTGATGCAGTGTGCAATAGATGTATGTTTAAATTAGACCATATTTGAGATGAAAGATTTAGTGCTGAAATAAAAATGCATTTCAAAAGTCTCACCCTGTTTCTTCTGTTTACTGATTTCTTGACATTTTATCAGTTTTGCAAGACCCTTCTTGCATTTCAAGCAAAAGCAAGACAGAGGTTTTTAGGAAAACATTCCCTCACTCCATTGGGGTTTGTCACCCATCTATTCCTTAGTTTTTGTCTGGGTTTAAAACTCCTTTAATTATTACAGCTTTTTCACAACCTTTCACCTCATAGATGCGACTGCCCTTAGTTGAAAGAGTAAAGAAAACTTGTGGTTTGGTACCCCCAGCTCGATGTTCCTCAATCTTATGTGTAACTTCATGACCAACTT